AAAAGTAATCCATTCAAAAATGGAAAATATTAATTCAGTTATTCTTCACACACAGTTCATGGCCTCAAAATAAAACAAGGAATCATCTCCAGAAGCCGCTCGTGCGTCAGATCAGCTGTTCAAGCAGGTGAGCGCGCCTCACCTGCGATCCGGAGCACGGCTCTCTCCGCCGGGTCCAGCACGGATCCTCCCTGGATCTTCCTCTTGGACCGCTCATGTCTCGGCAGGTTCCAGGGTAAAGTGTCCCCGGGTGCGGGTGACGCGGACCCAGATTTCACGCTGTAGTCATCCTCGTCCGAGATGTCTGCCGAGGAAGACATGGAGCAGTGCAGGGAAGGGTTCCCCGAACTGGAGCTCTGGGAGACAAAAGGAACAGAACAACAGTGTCTTGATTACACGCGCGCACACACACATAAACACAGAAGGAAATGAACTAGATGAACGAGAACACACACAAAGACCATATTCTGCTCACCATGGCAGGTCAAGGTGCGTAATTACGCGCATGTCAAGCGTGGCGTGAGCCACCGAGACGCAGTGACCCAAAACAATAAAAGATTGAGCCAAATAAAAGCAAGGCGCAGAAAGCAATAGTGTCTGGCTCCCCCGCCAGGCCAGAACCAAAACTTACCAGTGTATGCATGGAAACCTGTCAGCTGGAAGAAAAACATACAGAATCCTAATAGATCATTATGATTATGATTATCCGCTCGTTTTCCGGGATGCCGCGCCCTTTAAAGGACGCTGAGGTCGCGCGTGCCTCCTCTGTGGCTTCCTTAAGGATGCAGGGTGATGTCAGATCTCCAGAGGGCTGAAAGGATGGTACTCTGTGTGCTGCCGAGGCAGAGCTGGCCGGTGATGGGAGAGCAGACAGCGTGCGTCTGCGCGTCACACACCGGCAGCCAACAGCAGCAGCGGTGTTAGAGCGCCATCCCTCACACAAAGGAAGGTTTCACAACCAGACACCCCTTTTTTCCCCATTATCAAAACCTTAGGCAGTCGTATTTAATTTAAACTGGATGTGGTGTTTTATTTTATTTTATTGTGACTTTTGTTTTATTAACAAAACTGAATGAATTACAGTATTTCAAACCATCTTAACAAGACAAACTGTTTTCTGCTGCAGCTTGACACTCCCCAGATTAGGCAACAGAGCAAATACACAAAACACGTAATAAGAGGAAGGGTTGGGCCCACAATACCTGCACAGTCCTGTTCAGTTTGCTTCATGACAAATCATCAGATTGTCGTGGTCCTAATGGTCTTAATGGTGCCATAAAGAAATTAGTCTGCACCGTGCTTTGTCTACTGTTCAGGTGATGGATGGTGTTTCTGCAGGACCACAGAGAAAGGTTTAAAATAGATGCTGCAGAGGGGATGAAAGCAGCTGTTAATATTAGCAACTGTTTCATCTCCGCATCACTTCTCATCAGGATCAAACTCAGTCAAAAAGGCGGCTCCAAGCTGCTTTTTTTAATCCGATCTCAAATCAGAACTGGCTCACGCAAAAGCTAAACTTGTTCTCTTTAAAGTGTTGGCCTAGGATTTTATTTTATATGATGTAAGCATAGGTAAAGTTGTCTCATTTTTAGTTACATCCATATTTTGAGTCTGCACTCCTGCATGTCAGAGCCTCACAAGTGATGTAAGGTAAAAGAAAAAAGAAGACGCTTGCGTATTTAAATGTATTTTCATTGCATTTACAGCCAGATTTGAGCTTCATGTTCAAATATTTGAAAGCTTTTACATTTCTATTTGAGCACTAAACATATTTCTGAGGCCTGCAGGGCTTTTTGAAACATTCAGAGTGATAAACTGATTACAAACTCAGTCAAAACAATCCCATTGAGACAGCTGCTGACAGTCATTACAACTTGAGTTAAGCATGTAGCCACGATCTAAACCAACTCTACTTTAACGTGAAGACAAACCTGAATAAATCTACTTTATTATTTTAAACCTTTTGAACATTCATCTGAGATTCATATGATTCTTGTACAATTGGACGAACAATATAGCTCAGTGATGTTTATGACCTGTGCAGACATTTTAAATGTAAAAATCTATAAATAATAATAACATTTTTGGTCAAGTTGTGATTCGTCTCATTTGCTGACCACTGCCATGATGATAGCACACAGCTCACCACCGATCAATAAGCTCCTTTGAACTGTTCCAACGTCACACAAAGACTTATTTGAACTAAATTTGCAAAAACATATGGAGATTTTGTATATGATTTAATTAACACCTTTTCAGAAACACACATTTGAATGGTTTTGTGTATTCGAGAAAAAAAAGATAAAACATTTTCAGAATAAAGCAACAGCCCAACAGACTATATCACAATGCGAGACGCTGTTTGTGTTTGAGCCCAATCTTTCTTAAAAGTTATCTCCAGACATTGTTTGTATTAAATGTGCAGAAGCCCATTTATCTTGAACATTATTAACCTGAAAAAAAAGGTCTCTGAAGGACTGCAAACAGTGTTTTCAGGGTAAAATAACAATAAAGACGTGGGTAATAGAAGTTGGAGGATTAAAACAGTGTGGCGTTAAAGAGCTAAAGGCTGAGCTGACATGTAACAGCCTGCAAAAAAAACAACTGAAGCCAAGTGATCAATGATCTCTTAAAGTGGAATAACATTTTAAATTCATTGTAAAAATCAAAGAAAAATCAAAATAATTACTCATAGAGTGAGTTGAACTTGGTGGTCAAACATAGTGTTGTCTTAGCCACTTTACTTCTACTTGGAAATAAGATATTTTCTGAATTAGTAATAAAAAAAATGCATTATGCTAAGTGTATCTACTCAGAAAGTCCCATACTACAATGTTTTGGGAAACTTCAAAATTTTACATGTTAGAAGAGACAATGAAATGTGCACATGCAGATTTACCTATGTCGTAAATATGTATAATTAAAGGTAAATGTAGTTATACATTTCCAAAGCACACCCAGGTTCAAGCCCCTTAAATAAACACCCGTGTCCCAGAAACTCGAGCTTAAAGCTTCAAACTCCCACAGAGTTCCTGTGAAGGGAAAAGTCAAACACAGATTTGACTTTTATCATCATTATCAGTGGTGGTTGGAGTTAGAGGTGAGATACCTACAGCTTTACGCGTAGGCGTGACTTGCACAGACTGGTAAAACTCTGGCAGGACTCTCTTCTTCACCTTACGTTTTCTCAGAGTCGATGGTAAGTCGGGTTCACTCTCTGGAACCTCGACCAGATGAGGCTTTTCTTCCGTCACTCGAGCATGCACGCTCCTTCTTAAGTGACGCGGACTGTGCCTGAAACACTGAAAACATGATCAGAATGTCAAACTGGGAACAGGACACGCATTCAACAGACACTTTCACTCTGAATTTCACAGCTTAATGTTTTAATATAAAACGTGCATAACAATATGTGAACTAAAGAACATGCACTGTTGCAAAATAAAAAGTCTTGTTTTGCAAGAAACCTATCTGAAACCATAAAAATGTATTTGAACATTAAGTGCTTGAACATTAATCATGTGAGTCAACTTCCAGGTTTTCAGTGGACTGAGCCAAATGCTTTTGTTTACATTGAGTGCATACCCTCATTTCAGTTTTTTATGTTTGGTTTTAGCTTACATTGAGCGCTTATATATGAGATTAAATGTGCTAAAACAGAAACACCAGTTACTACAAAACTGTAAAACCTTTAAAACTATTTTTCTACAAAACCCTCAAGATAAATGATGTTTTGGGCTCTAACAGTTTCGTTTTAGTGTCCTTGGATATGATACAGTATCCTGCAGCTACAGTATAGGGATTCAGTATCATGATTCAATAATATGACCTACAAAGAAAGGACAGCTATTGCTTTTGTAACTTTATAACCATATCAAACTTGTTTTTAATAGAGGATGTTAAACTGACAGAATAGTTAAGCATTTTTCCTAAACATTGGGAGGATTAGAAGTTGATTAAAACAGATTGTAGTACCTTCAGCAACTTTTAGTTTTATTAAAATAATATCCAAATAAGCCTTTTTTATATATGTATACATTTGCTGCAGAAAACAGAAACAAATGGAACAAATTTGACACTCCTAGCTTTTTTTTTTCTTTCTGTTTAGGTCTTAAAACTGAAGAAGTTTCTGCTAAACTTGCGTCCTTGAGATAACACAGGAAGATCTTTTAGCTTCTTTTATAAAGCTGAAAAAAAATGCCACATGCGCACTGCGCACATCTAATAATCCCTATTAATAGTCATGCAGCTATAATGTCCGGAGAAGAAGACTTTAAGCAGCAATTCCTTCTTTTAATAATGATAAAGGACAAGCAGCACACTACATATTTATCATGGAGAAAATGATGTGTCCTACCTCTGATCGAAAATGATGCGTTCGAAGACCAACTACAAGACAGATAATAAATGTTAGTGAGATCAAACATTTGTTCAGATATGACGTGGTGATGTTTTACAGAAGACAACTTGTTCCCATGATATTTAGCCCACAAGTTTAAGCCAAAATCAAAACGTAACCAAGTGTTCTGCGCACTTATATAACAGAATTAAACTGCAGATAACTGAAGCTGAGTCAGGATGGAGAGATGCGCCCGGCCTGCGCTACTCACCGCGGCTCCTGGAGCGTCCGCCGGAGAGAACAGATTTTATTGGGTGCTTCCCATTACGGAGCCTCCGGTGCCAGCAGCAGAAAAACAGAATAGTCGCAACAGTACCGAGGAGCAGCAACAGTAACAAGAGAACGCACTGGATATTGTACGGCCTCAGGAGGACTAAAAACGCGGCAGCGATCATTATAAGACGAAATATGGGACAGTTGGTTCAGCCTCAGGCAGCTGGCTCCTCCACCGCTGAAAGCTCCGTGATGAGGAGAAGGACGAGAAACGTGGACAGCGTGCAGGGTCAAAGAGAGCAGTCCACACCACTGATTGTGAGGGACAACGCATGACTCAGCAGACGCGCACGTTTTATTTCATTATTTATTTCCCAGCAGTGGCAGAGAGAGTCAGCAGATTCATCCCAGGCAGCATCGTCTGCTGCTGCAGAGTCACCTGCCCAGTGATGCTGCAAGTCGCATAAGCCGGGGATGGATGGGATGGATGGATGGATGTGGGGTCCAATGAGCTCTGAGGGACTATGTGTCAGTCTGCCCCCTTATAATTTTTAGTATGGTGGATCACTATTCTAAAAAAAAAAGTCAACAGAGGGGTGGTGTGCAGAAATGGAAAAAATAAAAAATAATTCTGGTTAGAAGCCAACATATTGGTTATGTAATTTCTGGATGAAGAGACGTCATTTCTTCTTGTTTAAAATTATAGATTCAAGTGTGTCAGGTCTGTTTTTATTTTGTTTAAAGAATAAAAGAATGAGTAAACGTCCCACTGTGCTAACCTAATTATTATAGTAGGCTTTACTATATTCACATGTCTATTTTGGCATAAAATGTATATATAGGCTATATAAAAGGAAGGAAACAGGGAGCCTAATATGACGATATTTGAACTGAGAAAAAAATGATAAGGTTAATAAATGTAGTCTTGTAAATATTGGATGTATTTCTACACAGAAAAAAGGCTGGAAGTCGCGAGTTCCCTTTATTTTTCACGTTCTGTGCCTAAAACTCGTGAGAAGTTATAAAACACTTCTCCAGCGACAGTGATGCATAAATAACCTGTGAGTTGGCCATGATGTCTCGTTACTGCCCGTTAAGAGCACGCGTAGACGAGCGGTGACTGTTTTACCTTTTATTCAATGAGAGAAAATGAGAACCCCGCCTGTGCAGCAAAACCCGGCGTTCATAAGAAGCGCTTCCGCTACTGATGACGTCGCAGACTAAACTGAGCCGCGTTCAGGTACTGTTGTAAAAACTACAACTATTCCGTCAGCTGAATAAATGGAGAGGCTGTATGTAAAAAAAAAAAAAAAAAAAAAAAAAAAAGCATTCTAAGTCTTATTTTTGACATGTTGAAATTAATTTGATTAGAATGTAACTTTTGCTGTAAAGAGCTAAACTTATTATTATTACTGAGCATAGCTCAATAAGACTACCTGTATAAATAAAGGGTAAATGAAAAAAAAAAGGACTTTGTTGAGATAAACTTTAGTCTTCTCACAGCCTTAAATATAGTCATTTACGAGATAGTCACAAGCTGTGGAGAACGATTAAATACCTAGATGACCAAACTGGACTTTTTATTTGGATGGGAATTTTGTGTTCTCTCAGAAACTACTTCGTCAACACTGCCACATAAACAGAGAAAAGGTGAATTTCGTACAATTTAACAGTCATTGAATGTTACACGGCCGCGGCTTTTTCTTTCTTCACGCTAGTGAATGAAATTCCTAGCTCAGTGCTGCCCCTGGTGGTGGACATCTATATTACAACAACACTGATTTATTTCGCAGCTCAACCGGTACGTTGAGATTTTTTACGGGTAGATGCAGTAAAATTAATAATCCATGGTTACGAAATATAGGAGCAAATAAATACGTTAATAGCAAATGAAAGTCAATTTAATGTATACATTATTTACACGTGTCTATCACGCTCAGTAAATATTTTCGAGTTTTCACATTGTTTTAACTGTGCTGAAGCTCAAAATATACATTTCAGTTGTTTTTTAGGAAATGAATCATCAACCCAAGCAGAAATGGAGTTTGTATCACTACATGTAGTTTCAAAAGACATTTTTTTGTCTTTTGACATTGATTACACACATTTTCCAATTACTTTTCTGTTATTTTTTTTTCCTCATTTAGTTGCTTTTTTTATGTTGTTGTAAAATATTAGTTTCATTATCTTTTGTGAAAGGTTTACATTTTTGGTCAAATTTTATTGCGTTGTAGTACAATATCTCCACCTAGTGGTTGCAGAAAGTACAAATCCTTATGTTCATGCTCATTTCAGATGTCAACTCATTTTTTTGTATGAGGCTGATTATTACTGAGCAAATGTGCAGTAAAAGCAACTGTTATGCATCAGATTTTACAATTAAAACGTGCGTTTGAAAAAAATACCCAAATGGCTGCAGTGACAATCAATGATTTTATTCTAAAATTAGTTGCTACAACAAAAAAAAGGCAGTTTCACACATCCTCCTGCCACACAGATCACATGTATGCTCAAACCTCCTGCACCCAGGCAACTTTTGATTTTATTAGTACACTCCAACATGCCAGGCTTTACTGGGACGCTTAAGTGTGATATTTACAGCCTGTTTGCTGCACTAAACTCAGGATTTTTTACATCATATATTATACAATGTATCCCCAATCAGGAAGTGACCCACATTTTTGATTGGTGAGTTCATAATCTAGTTGTCCCGGAAATTGGCTTTTCTTTTTTCGACAAAGGCAGTCATGCCTTCTTTACGATCCTCCTGTAAAAAAATAAAAAGAAGAAGAAGAAGAAAGAAATGTAATTTTTTGCTTTTAGAAATATTGTTAACCATCTCACAAACTAAGAGCAACTTACAGTCGCAAAAGTCGAGTGGAACAAACGTTTCTCCAGGCGGTTCCCCTCTGCCAAAGTCAGTTCAAAAGCTGCAGGTGCCCCCAAAAAAACAAGTCAAACAAAAAAACCAAAGACAAAGTGAAATGTTCAGGTTTTAAATGTTCATAAAAACCTTCACAAACCTCCACTGACAGCCTCTTTAGCCATGGCGGTGACAAGCTTCGAATTGGCCGCAATTTTCTCCCCACATTTTACCGCTTCAGACACCAGCTGCTCCACGGGATAAATTTTACTCACCAAACCTGGAAGCACACACAGCTCCCAGGTCACATAACGACAAAAAAGAAAGTCAGACAACAATGCACGTTTATTAAAGCACGGGTCTATTCTGCCAACAGTTTCACATCAGATGTAGAGGTGGTTCATAGTAACAATCCTAAAACAGAGTTAGGCACAAACTCGCAAAGCCTTTCTCTAAAGTTTAGCGAAGCGAATTGTAAATTTATCTGGATTATAATTACTTCTAAAAAAAATTTTTTTTTAAAATACAACTCAAAGAACTTTCACTAAACCTGTTTTGGAACATTGTTACCCGATTGCTTGGCTTCCTCAGCATTAATCTTGTCTCCTGTTAGGACCATTTCCATCGCAAGGGATTTGCCGACCGCTCGAGTCAGACGCTGGGTGCCGCCCGCTCCTGCAGGTAGAAAGGTCATAAAGAGTGGATCCAAAACAAAAGCACTAATGTTAGCATGAGACAGAAAGTGATCTTTACCAGGAATCGTCCCCAGGAGGATTTCTGGTTGGCCAAACTGCGCCTTCTCCCCAGCGTAGATGATGTCACACATCATGGCAAGCTCACAGCCTCCACCCAGCTGGAATAAAAACACAGAAACACAACCTGCCAATAACTTTTCCCACCTTTTACAGTTTTATATTACACTAATAAGCACATTATAAAGTGCTAAAGAAAAAACAATATAGATTATTACAACATGCAGACTCAGTCCAAAGCCACACAAACAATTGCCTTCATGTCTGGCACAATTTTACTAATTTGAGCTCATTAATGTTGTCGAGGGAAAGCGTATTTATGCTCCATTATTTTGCTTTATTTATGTCGACTTTATAACTTTATCTACTCCCTCTTGATGGTATTAGTGCCTGAACTCGGGGGAAAAAAGGGCATTTTCTTACTCTGCTCCAGTAACACCTTGCAACAAGCTCTGAAGCGGTCCACTTCGATTGCTTTAAGGGATTTTAAACACTTGATAAGGTCATTAGAAAAATCGAAGCGAACGTGTTCTTTACCACGTTTTATATGGCACCTTGATTTTATTGTTCTACCTTTATTTTAATTGCTTTTTATCGTTGTATATTGTTGTCCATATGTTCGGTCTAAAACAGGTCTCTCTTGAAAACGAGTCCTCGAGACTCGATGAGACTAATCTGTATAAATAAAGGTAATTAAAATATATATATATATTAAAATGTTTCCATCGTTCCTCTGTATTATAATCAGTCTTGAAGCGACGGTCAGCAAGGAGACATCATGCTCAAGGTTTGATTGATATTGTAGACAGAGTGATGTGTTTCCAGAGTCCTTGAGAGGTGATTTAGTCTTCCACAACTCCCCGACAGGTTCTGTGTGCAGCTGCTTTGAGAACAGCTCAACAGTACGAGGGGAGGGGGAGAAAACTGGCACCAGGACATTCTATAAACTAACAGCTTACAACAGGAAGCTCAGGTCTGAAATCTGGGTGTGGTGATGGACTCAGACCTGAACCTTCAGAGCCACATAAAGACAGTCACAAAGTCGACCTTGTATCACCTGACGAACATTTCCAGGATTAAAGGACTAATGTCGCAGCAAGATCTAGACAAACTCGTGCACACGTTTATTTTTAGTCGCATTGATTACTGCAACAGTGTCTTCACAGGTCTGCCTAAAAAAAAAATCACAGCTGCAACTGACCCAGAACGTTGCTGCTCGCGTTCTCACTAAAACCAGGAAGATAGAGCACATCAGCCCAGTTTTTAAATCCCTACACTGGCTCCCCGTAGCTCAGAGAATAGACTTTAAAATACTGTTGTTAGTTTATAAATCGCTGAATGGCTTAGCGCCACATTACATTAAAGATCTGCTGTTGTTGTTGTGGTCTTCTGGGTCTGGTCCGCTCTGCATCCCCAGAACCAAACACGGAGAAGCAGCATTCAGCTTCTATGCACCACAAATATGGAACAAACTTCCAGACAACTGCAAAACAGCTGAAACTCTGAGTTCCTTTAAATCAAGGCTAAAAACCACCTGTTCTTTTTATTATTATGATAAATGGAACATTGATCAACACATTTGATGGCACTCGACATAATGTAATGTTTGTTACTGGTGACTATGTTGTTTTTATGATGTAAAGCACTTTGGACTGCCTTGTTGCTGAAATGCGCTATACAAATAAACTTGATTAACTGATTGATCGATAGTCCCTTGTTTATCGTGGGGGATCCGTACCCTGAAGTCACGCGCTAAGTGAAACACCGCAAAGTAGGAATAGTAGTACAAGTAGTAGTTTATATATGCATTTTAAACCCTTCCCACACTCTTAAAATATTCTAAACCATGTTTCTAAACTTTAAACGTTCTAAAAGAGCATGTCGTGATTTCAGCTCTCTGCCTCCTGCTGCACTCTTGGCCACGCCCACTTCTCTGCTGCAGAGAGATCTGACACGCTGCATGAAGAAGCTTCTCCTGCATCTTGGGCTGCACACTGGTGCTAAATAATTTATTTTAAATAAAAATTCCGTGCCGATCATGCAGATCATCCATCAATCGGCCAAATGTGTGTCATGTCCAGTCTTACTTTGAAAAACCGCAATAAGAGTCTGCGAAAAACAAACCGCGAAGTAGTACATCTAAACTTTTTAACAAAAGTATTTTTGGCATATAACCCACTTTGAAATTTTATTAGATGTTGACATTGAAAAATCTAATGTAGGCACGTTTCTAATCGAGCCAAACTCTTTGTTCCCCTCCTGCTCCTCTTCGGATATTTTATTTACAATGTAAATTAAAATTTAAGCTAATGGAATAAGAAGAGATTCGTTTCTGAAACACTGAATATTTTTTTTATTTATACTAAAATCCCATTTTATTTTCTTGCTTTCAAATGTTTGTCACATCAACGATTGTTTTTCCTCTTAATTTATCGTTTTATCAAGACGTTAGAATGTGCCGTCTCATTTTTGTGAGAATATAAAACGTCGAACTTACAGCAAATCCATTAACAGCTGCGATTACGGGCTTCTTCACTGTGGAAACTCGGTTCCAATGAGACAGAAAGTTTCCCCCATAACATTCTTGAAAGGTTCGATTTTGCATTTCTTTAATGTCTGCTCCAGCTGCAAACAAACAAACAAACAAACAAACAAACAGCAGATCGACAAAATTACCACACAATAACCAACCAATAACCCAAACAATAAACTTTATGTGAAATTTCTGCCAACAAAGTTGACGGAAAAATATTCAGCAAGCTTCCGCACCCGCAAAAGCTCTCTCGCTGCCGGTGATGACGATGGCGCCGACGTCTGCATCAGCTTCGAAGGAGTCCAGCGCCTGTCCCACTTCCTTCATCAGATCGTCACAGAGGGCGTTGAGAGCTTTGGGTCGGTTCAGCTGAATGAAACCCACGTTGCTCCTCTGACCTCGCTTTTCCACCAAAATATACTCATACTGACCACCTGCATGAAAAGAAAACCAACAACGATGCTCAGGTGACACACTTGAGCACACTTTACCAAGATTAATTACAATTGTGCTCAGAGAAGTACTGAAAAAAAACCAAAGTAAAAAAAAAAAACAAGGGCCACCATTTGATTTCCTTTATTTAACAAGATTTAAAACTCCACAGATCAAGATCTTATTTGCAAATGTACACCGCACACATCATAAAAGACCCATCACACCAACAGCACTGTGACACAGCTTCACACAGACCTTGGAAACACTTTGTGCAATAGATTTTACATCCATTGATTAAAGCAACCATTTCAAACAGGTCCCAAAGTTGTGGCCGAGGGACCTTATGGTGAAACACCAAACACCAAAGGCGGGTCGTGAAATGATCTCACCCTAAATAGATGAAAATAATGTAATTTTGAGGCAGTTTGTAAGATTATATTTGCAGTTTGAGCAACGTTGGTATTCTTTAACCAGCTACTGATAAGGTCTCAAGTCTCTGCCGACATCTTTTTTGTCATTGTTTAAGAAGCTAAAATAATATTGCATTGTTTACATCCAGCTGGCACAAGCACACAATTTATAATTCAGATTTCATGTACAGGTATATATACCGATACATGCTCGGTCATCCAGGTAAACAAATACAAAAAAGTTAAGTCAGGTCATCTGGACGAATTCTTCTTGGTTGAAACAAACAGCACAAATCAACCAGTTCGCTGGAGACATCCAGAACTAGCTTTTCACATGTAGAAGGAGGACCATCTGTCTAACAATAGATCGTCAGTGATCTGATGACTGCTTGCTATTCACATTTGTTTACCTGGATGACTGAGCATGTATCAGGATATTTTGAACCACGTTAGCCAGGTTTGCCTTGGGCTGGTTCTCTGACAGTACATGTGTCCTTTGACATGTGAAAAGCTAGTTCTGGATGTCTACAGCTAACTGGTTGATTCACTTTAAGGTGCTATTTATAGGACTAAGTTCGTGGCATGGCCTCAGACCGATGAAGTCTTTCGGATGAAAGACGAAACGTTTCAACCGAGAAGAATCCGTCCACACGAGCTGACTTAACTTTTTTGGATTCATGTATGTAGTAATAGTAATATGGTTTGACTCAAAAGTAACCACCTGTACAAATCAA